ACAAAGCGTGGGCGGTGTGCATGCGTGGGTTCGAATCCCATCGAGGCTACTGAACTTTTCACAATCGACATACAAAATATGAAGAGCCTAGTTTTGCAGGAAAACAACGAATGTCTTTGTCTACCTACCATTAGTGAGCGGTGTATGGTTCGGATAATTCGATAAACACCCACAGAAATAGAACTATTTCATAGTAGCTATTCGTCGTGTATAGAGAATATAGAGTGAGTCTGGGTGCTGGACCAACCCAGTCGTAAAGTAGCATTTTCAACTTTGAAGGCGCAAAACGCATACCGAACATGGCTATACTAGCATTCACACTATCCAAAAAGCTTGCAACTTACCTGCAGCTTCACTTAGTAGCACAATATCATCCGCATACTCTAGATCAGACAGTCTGTCACCAGAAAGTAACCCGATACCGCTATTCTTGAGGTGGAGGGTGATAGTTCAAATTGGGAGGGGCGGGCAGTTGAACTGAGCCTCGAAATGTTCAGCCCAACGGTCAAGATGGCGTTGCTGAGCGTGTGCCATCGGATTCCTTAATTAACCTCACTTACACCTACTTTCCTATGACCCGTATTCCTAATTAGACGGAAAAGATTGCGACTATTACCAATAACCGCAGCTTTCTCCATCCTTTACACTTTCCTATCCACCACTTCTTGCGGTCATTCCTCAGACTCTTGATGAGCTGGCGTTTGAAGGATTTGTCACCCTCTCGTGTTGCCGAGAGAACTGATTTGGGGGGAAAGAAATTTGTAACTGTTATGAAAGCGCGCTCAGGGCTGATATACTTGCATGAGCCACATTATCAAATGAATTTGTATTCATAAAGACTAGTCATAAAAATTGTAAACTGAGTTGTCTGAAAACAATTCATTGAGCTGCGTTATTCCTCCGGATTGTCAGAGACAAAATGATACGTGAAATGGTACAGAGTATGATGAGATTGCGTTCATATTCCCGGAACCTGACTTTCATGCGAACACTATGCTCTTCGGGACTGGTCATCGTTTGGTTACCGCGTTGTCCAGATGAAGTTTTTCAAGTGGATACGTGTACATCACTCGATACGGAAACCATTTTTTAAATTTTTTCCAATGTCCCCGAAAAAAATAAATATATATTGTACAGTCTTCAATGATCGATTTTACAAATCCCCTTTGAAAGAGCTGGATGAGAAAGACTGAATGTATCAGTGGTGGAATAATTTTTTTTTGCTCACATGTGATTCCGAGACAAACAGTTATTGTCCGGAACGGCTTGTGGCACGTGATTTGAAACCAGTGAAATGGTTGAAACAACAATCTGCACATGAAAAGGTCTACTAATGCATGACGATCGACAGGACTAGTCAGGAATGAAGCAACAAATGCACGGTTGCATTACATATGACATTAATCCAATCGATCGATCGATTGAAGGCAGAAACTGAAACTACGTCCCATGAGTCTGACTTCAACTAAACTCAATCGATGCCACTGTTTCCTATTCGCTACCTGATACGACCACGCCTTAGACCAGAATCGAGAGCATGCATGGTAGCGCTCAGGACATATTTTTCGCATACGTTTAGTGCATGCAAAGTGCAGAATGAAACAATAGGGATTTTGCTTGAAGTGATTCAACTGAAAATGGGCAATAGAGGCAGTCGGCTGCATGACTAAATACCGCATTGTTGATGGGAAGAATGTATGCATACAGCACATGATACAACAAACATAACGGTCGGCAAGTTCGAACAACAGTAAATCATCATCATCATTGTACAGGGTAATACAATGCAACGAACTTCGCTGCTGAACTCATAATGCATACAAGATAAGTAAGAATGTGTAAGGAGGACAGGGGTTTGGCCTATTTAGGGACGGGAAGAGAAAGCGAACCTCTATGGTCAACATACGAAGTACGCAGCCCAACTGTGGATACATACTTTTTCAAGCATCCTGGTCTGATAAGAAGTGACAGCATGATCACCATTGCTGTCGGTTCGTAGCCATGACCCTCAGTGTCTCCAACCATGCGGTTTCTGAGTCTTTTGGACCTCAACCCGGAAGACGAGAGACACCTACTCTACCTAATCGCTCCGTGCATTT